GGGGGGGGGGTTGCTTGGAAGAGACAGAAAAGGGAAAGTGGTAGAAGCAGGATGAGGCGGGGGAGAAATGACCAGCAGGAGGAGACGTGGAGATTCTCGTATTCTCCTCAGTGTCGTTATTTTCTTAAAATCGCCGTTCAGCATTTTGCCTCTTTACCAGACGCCGCCGGGGCGGGCAGGGGGGGCGTTTCCCCCGTTTTGTGCATTTCTGATATGGCCTCTGCTTCAATCATTACAAAGTCACGTCCACTGTGTGTTTGTAAATATTTCCAGGATGTCTCACCATCCAGCCACCCAGGCTCATGTGACTGGGATTCAGCTTCACAGTGCTTCACTCCTCCCTCTGTTCCTCCGCCTCACCCTCTCCCTTCCCTTCCCACCCCTTTCCTTCATTCTGTCAGCGTTTAGCCCGTGGTTCCCTGCACCTCACTGGATCCTGGGAGAGCCTTCCCACCGCCTCCTCCTCTTCCTTTGCTTCTCTCCTACTCCTCGCCTCCTCGCCTCCACCACCTCTCCTAGGCTCCTTTCCTGGCCATGCTTTGGGAGTGACTGAGAGCTCCCTCTGTGAGGCTGAGTGTCACTTGAGGTGACCCAGAAATGATAACTCCAGATGAACCCTGGATGTGTGGTAATCTAACCACCGTGCCCTACAGCAGAGAGGAGCCAGGCACTCGGGGAGGTGCGGGGGTGGGCGGGGGGACAACCAGGCGACCTGCTTGGCGCTGTAGCCGCGGTTTCGCCGATTTAACCAAGCGCGCTGCAGCGCCTGTCTGGGTATCGTGCTCCTAGCGCGCTGTGTGTGCGCTCCGTGTTGTGCTACGCTGTGAAATAGATCTCAGTGTTGTTGCATTATTGATGAGATACACTGTGATGTCAGCCCAGGCTGAAGGAGCAAAGCAAAGTGACTGTTAGCAGCGTGCCACGTGATCGTTTCTGTGAGGTGTAATTAACTGCCACCCTTTGCTCGTTCACGCAATATTCTATCCACTCGTTTTCAATTGAAACGAGTCCATCCGTGCACGGCGCCGCTCCGTGGGGAGCACGAGCACGTTTGGGTTCTCCTGTTGTTTTTCTGGATGACCTCCGTTTCTCGTGTTAAAGATGAACGCGCACTTCAGGAGGAGCTAAGTGCTCTTTAAACGCTTTTGCACTCTCGTCCCGGTGATACCGTTTAATGCACGGTTGTCAGTTTGTATTTCAGGTGCAGAATAATAAGAAATAAACCTCGCGCTCCTTGTGTTTACCTCTTAAATTGAGAAAATACGGTCTCATTAAGAGAGACACAACCAAACCGTCCTCACAACATAAACACTATTAATATTTACGAAAATCTTGACATTATTAATTATTGGTGAATTTTTCATCAGCGTTTCTTTTTTTCATTAGATGTTGCAACACAAGGCCACACAAGGCAAGTGTGTGAGTCGACTTCCTGGCTGCACACACTTATTATTGCTTTGAATTTGTATGAAGTTTGTCAGCTCAGTTCCTCAGAAAAGGTGCAGTGCGCCACACACATATGTCTTTTTTTGTCTTATTTGTGTTTTTAATGAAATGCATCAATAAAATTAGACTAAAAAGTCTGGTAGGAGTCACGTGTCGTCTTGTATTAATGGATCCAAACCCTCCTGAGGTCGCACATTTTTATTATTCGTCACGAAAATATGAAATCAAGGAAGTCAGAGAAGGGGGGAGGCGGGGGGAACAAAAAAAACTGCGACCTTTCCTAATAGGCAACCCTCCGCTGTTTTGGTCCAGTACCCACATGATTAAAATGCGCACAATTCGTCAATTAATGAGCACTTTTATTTTGAAAATGGCTTCGATTTGGTATTTGGTTATTCAATACCAAAACATTTTCCCCTCCAGGCGTGTGTTGCTGCGCTCCCTATCTTTGTCAGATTTGATTGATCCGGTTTGACTTTACACCCTAATTATTTATTCACACAAACCTCTCCAGCCAGTGAGACTGTAACCGCGCTCAGCTCACGTCAGTCTCCTATAATACGATCGGTGTGTGTGTATATTTAAAAATAAAAGGTAAAGAAGCTATGATGGGATTATAACTGTTTAGGCCCAGATGTGCTTTCGTTTCTGTGCAAACGCTGGTTTATTCATATTAGGTGCGTAAAATGAATAATAATAATGGTAAGCATGCAGGAGCTGGATTCATTTACAGCACAGGCTAAGTTGGGGTGTTTAAAGGACAAATACATATTTAATTGCTACATTTTATTTTATACAGTGAGAGTTTTTTTGTTTCATTTGGCGACCACCGACTTCACCGCTTTAATTCAGAAGCACATCACAGATTATAACCTACATGCTGAGTAGGCCATTGGCTCATGGCTCCCCGTTTTCTGTGTGCTGCGGTGTGTTGAGGGCCGTCTGCCTACGAGAGAGGAATATTTAAATGTCTTGTGTTTTAATTGACGCTCGAACTAGAACTGTAAGCTCAGAAACGAGGAACAGCCCCCCATCTACCGGCAGCCTCTCCTCTGTCTCCTCTGCACACTGCGCACAGTCCGGAGCGGCTCAGTCTGCACGCTGCACAGGGATCTCACACACTGCACAGCCGCAGGTAAGACTTTTTTCCATAGCTATTTATTCTTGAGGGCAACGCTTATAATATTAATAATAATAACAACAATAATAATACTATTAGTAACACAGAGAGGGCTTTGGGGGGGAAACGAAAGGAGAAGCGGGGAGCGTGTGAAGCAATGCGCGACAGATCTGATGCGTGATAAAGACAGTGACATGGGTGATTTTGTCCAGGATAAAAGCGCAGATTTTATCGATCGGTGTGTGTTTAAAAAAAACGGTATATATATTTTTTCTTATTATTATTATTATTTTTTTTCTGTTTGCCTAATTCAGTCTTGATTATGCACATAAATAATAGATTGGAATTTGCACGCCAGTAAAATCGTGCGAAACACAAATGTACGCGTTTTATGAAAATACAGGCAAAATGTCGTTGTGTGCGTGACTGTGATATTATTATTATTATTATTATTATTATTATTTTCATTATGTATTTGACAAACGTCAGTGGCCCACTGAGCCGACTCTCGCCATGTCAAACAGAAATGCTGACACTGTGGATTTTTGTGCTTTAGTGCTTTTCCAAAGCCTTAAAATAAATTCAATTCCTTAAAAAATAATAATAATAATAAATTCATCTTTAACTTGGATAAATCACTCTCCCTGACTAAAGCTGGAATGACACACAAAATCACTGTTTTATTTCCTACCGTTTTTTAAAGTCACTTTAAAAATACTGAAGGTGTAACAGATTTTTTAAAAAAGATATTTCAAAATAAAAGTGACTTTTTTTTCGTTTTGTAAAAAAAAATATACATTTAAATAGTTTTGGTCAAAA